GAAAGTGACCATTCAGTGACTCCTCCTCCCTCCCTCACAGAGCTCCTTTCAGAGTCTAGCCACATCCACCTGTGTCTCTGCAGCATCCTGTGACGGGAATGACTTCCCCGGAGCTCAGCTCTGCTGCTTCCAGGATTCACTACTGGTGGAGCCTCCCCCACTGCCAGAACAGTGATGCCGCACCTCAGAGGCTGTAGAACGCACAGACCTTCCCACCCTCGTGTGGTATCTACACACGGACAACCCCCAGTGACCCCAGACATGCTCTGCCTCAAACGCCAGTGTCCCCATGGCTGCCATCATTCCACACAGAACCAAGCCAGCCATTAGTAACTTGGCCCATCCTGTATTAGCTCTGAGACAAAAGATAAGGCCATTCAGAGTCTTTCTGAACCTTCACCTCCTCATCTATAAAACAAGGGTAATACCCCACCCAGTGTTTTATGAGGATTAACTGAGATACAGTTTATGAAAGGGAGAAGCAGAGACACCCAGAGACAAGATCACAAAGGAGCAGAGAAGTTCAGGTCAATTTTGTTGAAAGGAATAGCAACCCGCCTGGGCAGGGCTAAGATAGCATTTGTTCCCAGGTGCAGTTAGAGGCCCCTTTTATACGGGGCCCCAGGGGTGGACAAATTCCATAGCAGGCCTGGAAACTTAGGGTCTTTGGGTGCAAATTTCTCAGGGGGTGGAAATTAACCAGATCTTTTGTCTCCTTTGTCTTAGGAGGACAGGAAGGGGGTGCAGGGGTTCATGTAGGGCTGTGTTAGCCTTCACAACAGTATAGTCTCAGATAGGCTTAATAAATATCTATCCTTTTCTCTTTCCCTGTCTCCTCATGTAAGAGAAATGTTTTTAGCGCTTGGGTTTGCTGGGGCTAGAGTGATGGAGAAACTGGACTCATCAACTAGGTGTCCAGGCAGGGAGAACTGGGGCTCACAAGGAGGTGATTCAGTCACTTTGGAAATCGTTGGCAGAACTTAGAAATCTGTCAACCAAGGTACCAAGCAATGATGACCGAGCCTAAATGTACTTGTCCATCTCCTTATGCAGCAAGAAGCAGCTCACAAGGGCAAGTTAGATCTCTGTATAATAGTCTGGCAAAAAAAAAAAGACCAAAGTACATCAAGAGAAAATTATGCATGTGGCAGGTAAGGTGTACAAGTAGCCCTATTTTTTGTAGGTGTACTTGGGTAGAAAGGTTTGCATGGGCATAGAAAAGAGGGGTGTTAAGAATCCCATCAGAGTCTTCCTACTGATCACCAATGATGAGATTGCATTGACAGAACGTGGATATTTTCTTTATATGTCATATAGTTGTTATCAAAAACATTTAAACACATGAAAGCTTTAAATTTAGACCTTTGATCAGGTGGCTACATTTGTAGTGTCTAAATGGGCAAAAGACAGGAAGGCTCTGGCATGGACACCTTGGAAAGGCCCATTGTCTTATAACAGACTGAGGGTCAAGTGTACTTCATAAAAGAACACAAGCCCCTGGTGCACAGGGCTGGCTTCTCCCTAGGAAGGAGGGTAAGGAATGAGGTCCACCCACTTGATGTGGACATTGCTTTGTTCTGAATAAGAATTAACAAGGCATCCATCTCCGAAAGCCTGATCACCAAGTGGGAACGGAGGGTCTTACCACTTGTTCTGGGAAAGGCTTTGAATAATCCCCTTATTTGAAAGGAAAGTGAATGAGCATATTCTAATCACCGCATTTCCAAATTCATTGGGTTACGTTCCATTTTCACACTGTTTACACTTCAGAAATGCTCATCTTTGTTTCTTTTCAAGGAATAATATTATCACAGTGTCAATTGTAATGACATCCCAGCAGGCCAGAGCTTTCTCAAAGATGGCTTTGGCAAGTGGGTGGGGAAAGATGATGTCCTTAGGGAAGATATTCTAATTTTGGCCTTTTTAAGGTTCACCTCATTGAAATAACTTGTCTATTTTTGGTCTTTACTGTGTAAGGAGATAAAATTGCATTAGTCTTTAAAGCATGGATATAAATCCTTCAGACAAAATTGGGATTTAGTCTATCCTTGGGCCACCTAGATGATCATATATTTGATTATTTTCACCCAGAATGGCTGCCACAATTCTTCAAGGACTAATATAGCCTCACTGCATAAATATAGTCTCTGCTGTCACAGTCAGTCTTTCCTACCTGGCAAAGGAGAGGGAGCAGGTAACAGGGTTTACTCAGTGACCAGAACCATCAGGTGGGGCCTGGGGGACACTGGGGACAATGAGCTCTGTGTCTCTGACATTGCCCACCAATGCATGGGAGTGGACACCCATGACAGAGCTCAGGTATCAGGCTTAATGGCTTCAAAGATACCCCAGAGATATGTGTACCTTGGGAAAACTCTCCCTATTAGGGAAGCCATTCGTCATCTTCTCTATCGCCTTTTAACACTAGTGTTCCACATTGTGTTTCTGGTCATTGGGGTAATGATAAGGTGTCTTTGACTGGGAGACTCCAAAGTCCAGGACCTATGAGGGAAGGAAATGGAAGGAGGAAACAAACCCAGGAGGGGATGGGCAGACAGGAAAGTCAGTCCTCCAGAAAGGCCTGGGATCCAGTTACCCTTCCATGATGAGGATTCCTCATCCCTCTCCAGGACTCATCTGCTCCCAGGAGACACAGGGATGGAAGTTTCCATTTTATGTGTCTAGACTTGGCCTAAGTGAGAACCTAGAGGGTCTTTCATCTTTCACTCTCTATTCTCTAAAGATGGGTCACTAGTACTTGGAACTGCTGTTGGCACTGGTCACAAAATGGAAATCAAAAACATCCACAGTCCTTACAAAGCTGAGGTTTACAGTCCAGAGAGTAAGAGAGCTTCCTGTTAAATAGTCACACAAAGTCATGGAAAATGACAGTGGTGCTAAATGCTAGGAGTCTTATCAGCCACGAGTATTTATAATGAAGAGAAGTGCCTAGTCCAACAGCTGAAGGCACTTTTCCCAAGAAGGTGGGAAAAGTGACTCCACTGACTTGTGGAGCAAGGAGAACACCAGAGGAGAGGCTTGTGTTGACACTGGGAGTGGAGAGGGCTTTAGGTGGGGGAGCACAGTGCCTCTGAGGAAGGTGCTGAGCTGAGGCAGGGAGGAGGAGCAGGGTGGGGGAGGACAACTGGAGCAGACCCCGCAGGGAGGAGGCCAAGGACAGCCATGGGCATGTTGGGAAGACAGAGTTGTGAAAAGCCAGCAGGAGAGAGAGTGGAGACCTGCATTGTCCGTGGAGTATGCATACGGACAGCGTCACACAAACTCTCCTCTCTGCCTGCAGCTGAGCAGCAGGACTTGGGCAAGGAGGCTGCACCCCCTCACTTAGGTGCTGTGCATTCCATCCTCCCACTGACACGGACCTGACACTGACCCAGGGAAGTGCCTCAGTGCAGAGCAGGCTTGCGGTCACCCTTCAGACCCCATCCTGGGATGTCTGGGACTATGTCTCTCCTCCCTGGATTGTGGCCTCATAGAGACAATGCCACCTGAATCTTCTGCTAAGCTTTGAGTGCAGAGGGAGGGGGTTGTGCTGTGAGTGCTGACATAGGAGGACACGAGGTCTAGAGAAATAAAAACCACATGCTTGCCTTTGATGGAAACTCACAGACATGCCAAGGTTTCTCATTTGTGCACATACAGGGTCAGCTGCACCTGCTTTGGGTGTCTGCTAATGCCTGTACCTAGTGACAATTTAGGACATTGCCATGCCACTTTATGTCCTGTCCTTATCCTTTCCTATTGTCGGGTCTGGGTTGTCCTGGTATCTATGGAGTCTATGATAGAAGGAAGTTGTGTGTTCAAGTAGGGACTCCAATAATGTAGACACAAGTGAACTTGGCTATGTTGTCCCCAGGAGAAGGCTTTAGAGAACCCAACTGCCTCCAAGGGCAAAGGCCAACACAAGCAGCCTGGCAGGGTCAGGCGACATGGACAGACTGTGAGAGTGGCTTCAGATTATGTGTTGAGGAAACAGACCTGGCTCTCAGTGGAGTCATTGGTAATGCCACTGTCCCTACCAGCCAGGATCTCGGCCGCCTGCCTGCTGGTCTGCCCTCTGTGCTCTACCACCGACAGTCATGAACCCTCACCCACTGGTCCCTGCTCTCAGCTGCCTTCATTCTGGGAGAAAACAGCCCAGCAAGGTCCCATATCATCAGCCCTCCACCCACTTCTCCACCACTGGAGTTTTCCACCCTACGGATCTTTTCTTAGAAACTATTTCTTCTGCACTGAACATATGTTTCTCCCGCCCATTCCTAGATCTCTATTTTGAACATGAAAATGTATTTCAGGTACATTTATTTGTAATCATGAAAAAGTAAAATTTAAACATTACTAGAATAAATTAAGAAAAATATTTTTAGTCATTTATTGGAGGGAGGAATTTTTTTTAGTGGAGACACCGACCAAATTATTTGTAATTTCCATTGCATTAAAGAAAATGCTTGTACGTCAAAACATACCATAAGAAATGAAAAGGCAAGCAGCAAACTTAGAACGGACACAGGAATGTGCATAAATGATAAAGAATTAGTGGGAAATCACACAGTCCTCAAAGTTGCCGATGAACAGGGGATAGTAATGACCCCTGGGGATGGCTGAGCTCTCATTGCTGCCCAGCTGGGCCCTTGAAAGCAGGGCAGCACTCAGTCTCCCTAAGCAGGACACAGCAGGTGACAATAACGCAGCCAGAGAGGTAGAAGGCACGCAGACTTGGTAAACACACACAAGGGTGTCTCCCATTACTGCTTCTTACAAACTGGGAAACACTGGGGAAATGGTTCAGCATCCATAAGTTGTCCACCTAGAACTGGGAAAATTTTAAAGGTAATAACATGTACAAAGGATCTAGCACACGTTTGGGGCCTCGGCTGTCACTTTTCTACTGAAGTCACCCAGATCATGACAAGCTACAAGATGATGCTGATGGAGAAGGGGACCAATTTCTCCCACAACCTGGGCTCTCTTGTTTGGGATAGTTAGCTGAGCTGGACACAGGAAATGCCTTTGAAACAACCCAAAGCCTTGAAGGAGTGAAACTTGGCTTGAGCCTGCAGCTGTGGCATCAGAGTTGAACCAGGAAGTTTGTGCACAGAATGTTGGTGGCACAGAACCAGCAGTGTGGCACAGAGATACAGAGCTGAATCCTCCAGCTTCAAGGCGCTCACGTTCAGCCCAGAGTGATAGTCATGGGACTGGTGACCTGAGAATCGATCAGGGAAGTCTCCTTTTTCTCCCTCTGCCCCCTCATAATACTCAATGAGGAACTGGAGGCCCTGACCCAGGGCCTGTTTATACCAGTACACTCTGTTGTGCCCAGGGACAGGGGAACACCTCAATGTCACTTGCTGTCCTCTTGCTTTGATCAGGTGTCTTGGAGTTTGGGTGACTCCAGCCTCTGCTGGGCCTGTGGGGAAAACAGATGGAGAATGAGCACGGGAGGCAGCCTGGTGGGTTCTACCCAAGGTCAGTGGGGGTTTCAGGGGTGAATAAGCTCAGAACAGGATGCTGTCCTGTCTTCAGGGCTCACCTGCTCCCAGGAGGCAGAGCAGCACCCAGGGCAGGAGCCTGGCACCCATGACACAGGGGGCAGGCGGCACTAGGCCTCTGTGCTCAGGGCTTGGTCCTCTTGGGGAAGAGCTGAGTTCTGGGCCTTGCTTTTCCTGACTGGGGGAGTGTCCTGTGATGTCACAGCCCAGGTCACCCCCTGCAGGCTTTGGGGAGCAGAACTCCCTGATTGATGCTTCTCTGATGAGGAAGTTGCTTCTCTGCCCACACTGCCCCAGCACCCAGGCTGCTCCCTGCCCTCCCACCTCCGGCTGCAGTGCTCCACATGGGAATTCACCCCTGCCCACCAGCTGTGGAGGGTCCTGGGGCCACCCCCTCCTGTCCCAGCTCTGCCTGGCTGACCTTCACATCATTGATGCTGGATCCATACCAATGTTTCTGATGACATTTTCCTTTCCCAGGGCACATTTGCACCTCACCAAGATTTAGTCCATCCGATCAGTCCCAAGGCTTATCTGGGTTGTCTGTGAATTATTAGTGTGGGGAAGAACTCTGACAAAAGTCAGCAATTTGGGATTAGCAGTACAGATTCCCCAGAGTTAATTCTGGTATTTTATCAGCTCACAGCATAGAACAACCAATTTGGGATTCACCAAAGGCCATCCTGTGTGGATTGCTCTGGGCGGGGGGGCGGGTTGTGTCTGTCCCTCTGGGTGCCGCTGTCTTCAGAGGCTGCCCCAATTGTTCAGACCAACTGCTTCCTTTTTCTCTAACTCCATGGAAATTGTCCTTGACCATGGCAGGAGAGCAGAGGACAGTGAGGTGACCCACTGTCCTGGTTTACAAAATCCACTCCCCTGTCACATTTCATGGTGACAAAAGGTAGACACACGGCAGCCTGGATGATTTGCTACTTAGATGTTTTTTTCTATCAGGTATCTTAGTTCATTGCTTGTAATTTCCACATACCATAAAGTCCTAGGACATAGACACCGAACCTTTTGCTACTTTGTCACAGGGTGACATCTACTGTAGTTCCCAATTACCTTGTTCCTCCTTTCCCTTTGTGGCCTCATCAAAGTACCTTTACCAACATCTGGTCATAGCCACTGAGAAATCCTGAAGAAGATCCAGGCTTTCCCTATTGCTCTCCTCTCCTTCTTAGACCTCCCACAATTGTCCTTAGTGCCCATCACCTGGGAGTGAGGATCCTGGGGCCACCCCCTCCTGTCCCAGCTCTGCCTGACTGACAGAAATCTGGGCCTTGGCTGGCCTGTTCCTCCCGATCCTTCCAACCTCTACCCATCACTCAGTTTCATAGCTGCTTCCATATTTATGGGTAGATTATTTTTTTAATAGCAACAAATCCACCCCGGTACCAATTTTTCTGTCTCAGTACTTTTTTTCCTGATCCAGTAGAAGAATATTACAGAATTAGTAACTTATAAAGAAAAGAATATTTATTTGGCTCATAATTTGGAAGCCTTGGAAGTCCAAAATCAAGGGACCACGTGTGTTGGGGCCCTCGTGCTGCGTTATTCATTGGTGAGAGGAAGGGATCGAGACACAAAGAAAATGGGGCTGAACACATCCTATTTAACAAGATCCTAGTCCCCTTGACAACTAGCTCACTCCCAAAATAAGAGCTCCAATCTATTCAGGAGATCAGATTCTTATAACTTAATCTCTTCTTAATTGTCTCACATTTATTACAGTTCTGTTACATTGGTACTTAAATTTCAACATGAGTTTTGGTGGGACTTTCAAATCATAGTACATGCATCTACCCCATAAATCAGTAATCCTTCTCTTAGATCTATACCTAAGAAATACAAATGCATTTTTCCACAATGAATTGTACAGAAATGTTCAGAGCAACTTCATAATAGTTGAAGCCAGATATACATCAACAGGAGAACGAATGAACTCATTTTGGTATATTTATACAATGGAATACTATTCCACAATAAGAAAGAAAGAACTGCTGATACAACACAAATGTACTTAAAATATTAATTTTGGATAAAAAGTCAATAAAAATGTACTATATGATTCAATCTCCATGAAGTTCAAGAATGGACAAAACTAATTAATAGCAATAGAAATCATAAAGGTAGCTACCTCTGGGAGACAAGTTGATTAGAAAGGACCATGAGGAAAATTTTTTGAGTGATGGAAATGTTCTTTGTCATGATTTTGGTTGTGGTTGCATGCTATATGCATTTGTCAAAATATACTAGCTGCCCTTGTATTAAATTGAGTGCTTGACTTTCTATTAATTATACCTTAATAAAAAACATTACTAAAAAGCGTATGTATGAATTGCATAAAAATGAGAGTCATATCTAAATATATTCTGGTGCAGTCCAATTTAGAAACAAATCACACAAACATAATACAGAAACGCTCATATATCTATTATAAAACATAAAGAATGTAAGTTGTGCTCACGGACTGAAATATACAAAACCAATTTTGGCATCAAATAAGCTGAACTGAAAGTGTATCTAGAAATAAATAAGGATCAGTGGTTGAAAAAGGCTATGGTCAAACAAAAACTTTTTACAAAACTCTTTAAGCAGTGTTGACAAAGCATTCCCTGAGTGAGAGACTGTTGTAAACCCCACGATGTGGGAAACAGGTCAGTCATCAGTTCCACAATTCGCCCTCTCCCTTTTATTTCAGAGGATTGGCCAATTGATAACTTGCCTTCTTGCTAAGCAAGCGGCCTGCCCCCCTCTCTTCGAGTGGGGCTTTGAGGAGCTGCCCTCCTCCTATAGAGCCCCATAGAGGTGCAGGTGGGCACAGTGTTAACACACAGCAATTGCTGTCTGTGGAGTTTGTACTTCCTATGAAGCCCAGTGGTGAATCTCCCAGTCTTGTGTTCGGTACGTCCCAAGTGAAGAAACTTTCCTTTTGAGTGTAGACATCTACCTGTAGGTGCTGTGGGGAGATGCAGGCTGGAAGAAAATAACATGTTTGCACAATATCATTCTACAATTTTTCCCAGGAAAGACAATATTAATCCAAACCAAAGTAATGAAAAGAGCTAGGTCCTTCCTTATCTCCCCTCAGAGCTCAAAACACTGTCCTGTACTCACAGATACTGGGGAGAGAACAGGTGGTGGTCTTTTTGTTTTTGTTTGTTTGTTTGTTTGTTTGAGACAGAGTCTCACTATGGCGCCCTTGGTAGAGTGCTGTGGCGTCACAGCTCACAGTAACCTCCAACTTGTGGGCTCAAATGATTCTCTTGCCTCAGCCTCCCAGGTAGCTGACTACAGGTGCCTGCCACAATGCCTGGCTATTTTTTTGGTATTTTTGTCATTGTTGTTTACCTGGCCCTGGCTGGGTTCTAACCCACTAGCCCTGGTGCATGAGGCCAGCACCCTAACCACTGAGCTATGGGTGCCAAACCTAGCTGATGGTCTTTTCCTAATAATTCCACTAACTGATTCTCTTCAAGTCCAATGACATCAGTGTTTAGCAAGTCTGCTAACATTTCTCCTAAATGGTTTCTTTACTTGAGTGTTTGATAACTTGCCACTTAGAATGATTTTTCCTGCAGAAAGCACATGCTTGATTTCTCATGGAATCAAATCTGAGATGCCATTATGCATATGCCATGCAGACTGTAGAATCCCAGGCTGCCTAGACAGTTTAAAGCTGCTCAGCTGCTTTATACTCCGTCCTTCTCCTTGGAAAAGAAGATGAAATGCAAATTCCAAGTTGGGAGCTACCATTTCTCTGCTTTACTCAATTACTAGACTATCCAAATTAAGCAAAATAACACTGTACCCTTTGCATTTATATACACACAGCATCACGATGGAGCTCAGCTCACGCTAGGCACATGTTACATGAGGACCCTCAGCCTGAGACCCCATTGCTGGGAAGTCTGGGAAGAGCATCAGAAAGGGCAGCTGTTTCTCCTGGTGGAGACGGGCTCCGGAGAAGAGTACTCATCTTCTGCATGTGGCTACCCTTCCAGGGCTGCGGCTGCACTGGCACAGAGATACGGAGTGGTCTGTGAGGGTCAACTGCAGGGTCAGGGGGAACACTCCATCTTGTTTCAGGAGACACTGTACCCCTCCGTGCCATCGCCTGTGGAGTGCTGCCCACAGTACCTGAATAGATCAGCCTTGACCCCTATCTTGGGTCTTGTCCATACCCAAACACTGAATAATTGTTCTTAACCCAAGAACATTCCAGGCTCATCTTTTCTCCCTGTCTGTGTAATGTGGTGTCTTGGCATTTGGGTGATTCCAGCACCCATGGGACCTGTTGGAGAGATGGACATAAAGTGAAGACAAGAATTGAGAGGTACTGGGAATCTGTACATGAAAATAAGGGAAAGGCTGGCAGCCAGGAATTTGCAAACATGTGATAGGGTTTCCCAGGGGATCCCAGAGCATACCCGCTCCCAGGAGACACAGGGTCACGATGAAAGAGTTTGGGGCTCATAGCAGGGTCAGGACTAGGAAGGGGGTCTCCCAGCTAAATGCTGTGATGCTCAGGACTATGAGCAGGGCCATCAGGCTGCTCTCCTGGGACAGGTTGTGGGGAAGGGGCTGTGATGTCACCTCCTGCCCCTCTAGACTCTCCCTGGCCTGAGTCCCTTCTGACTGGGCTCAGGAAGGACCGCCCCTTCACGCTCATGAAGGCTGTGGCTTAGCTTGGCCTCACAGAGGTTGGGAAAGCAGAGAGGTCCTGGGCTTTGGTTTCCCCTGCTCTCCATCTGTACCTGCCCCTGACAGCAAGGCCACATTCTTCAACCTTGGCTCTCATTAAGTTTGAGAGGAACCTCCCAATAATTGAAAACCTCAACTTCTGCATAATACTGGATCCAAGCCCACAGTTTTCTTAACCCTTTCCTTCCAAAGCTGCTGTCCCAGACTCCCTCCAGAGCCCCTTAGGCCCCAGGGGACCACAGTGCCACCATGTGTCCAATAGGTGAAGTTTCATCATTGCTTCTTAGTGGCCTGAGGAATGCTGGGAACTGTCTGCTTAGTCAACTGGGAGAATGTTCCATAAATACTGTCACCATCGTCTTCTTTAAACTATCATCCCAACGCTAGTTGTCATCCTGACGATTTCTTTGAGCTACCGTGCTGTGCTTAATACCCCACCTTCACTCTGTTGAGCTCCTGGGTAAAGCCACAGTGAGATTTTCCTCCTTAAAACATCTTGCTAAAGGGAGAGGAGTAGAATGAGAAGAATGAAAGAGAATAATATTTCATCTAAAATAGCAATAAAACACAGAAGTTGAAGTTTAAATAGGTCATTTTATCCCCATCAATAAAGATAAACAAAATGCCCCACAAATTCTAAAATATGGATAAACAAAAGACAAGGCAAATAATATTATCTTCAAGAGTGGGGAATGGATATTAACAAAAATAAATTTAAAATATAAATTATAGAATGCTTTATAAGGCCATGAGTGCTCCTGGAGGGAGCAGTTTCTAGTGGGAAAATTGGGATGGTGGAATCAAGATCAGTAAAGGGTGATGTACAGAAAATCAATACCATGTACAGTGGCACATCAGTAGATCTTGGCTGCAGAGAGGGAGGAGGTGATTCTGGAAGAGGCAGAGGGTTGGTAGGAGGTAAGGACTCACTGGTGCTACACAGTAACATTAGGAGGTAGAATCTGTCTCCTAATGACTGGTCTGGAGCTTTCCAGAGGAAATCAGTCTTGGCCCCAGACATGGTCAGTACCACAGGAGAACCGTGTGGCTTCACCATGGCTGATAGCCAGATCTGCTGCTGCTTTCAACTCTGGCACGTGTGTATTGGATGCAAAGGAAGAAAATTTGCTAATAAAGATTGAGTTTGGTGTGACCTTCAGTTAAGTTCAAAATTGTTGCCACATTTCTGGACTGGCATACACATTAGAGACACAGGCACACACAGCAAGGGAACCAGGGGACCAGAGAGGACAAGGTTCAGGGAGGCTTGCTTAGATCATGACTTCTGGAAGCAAGAGCAGAGAGAGTCCACAAAATAGGAAAACAGGTTGGATATTACGTTCCAGAAAACATAATGGAAAGGGATTCAGAACAAAGAACACTCCTGAGGAGACATCTTCAGCCCTTCCAGATAGCAGACACCATCAACAAATAAAGAGGAGAAGAGGCCTGCTCACTGCCCACTGCCCATGACTGATGATTGTGTTTGTGAGATGCGACCTCTGGGTCCCACAGATGACTGCCTCTCCCAGCCCTGAAGGCTCAGGCTAAGATGGGAACGTTCTTTCCTCTAAAGACTCTTGTATTTATGTCACATGGGAAGCTGTCTGCCTTGGAGTGTGAATCTGGCTCTGATGATTTCTAGAACCCAATGTACCACTGTCCACCTTTACAGCCAGAGTGTTTTAGGAGTGACTCTGTGGCCCCTTTCTACCCAGAGGACAGCTGAGGTCCAAATCTCTTTCTTTCCCTTGGACACTGAAGAGCAAAGAGGGGCCTCTGCTTAGGGTCTGTGGAAGCTGCAAGGGGAGGGAAGGATGAGGTTTGTGAGCAGGAAGGAGGTGACTGTGCCCCACTGTGGTTACACTGCTGGCACAGAGATACACAGCTGAGTCATCCGGTTCTGCAGATGTGATGTCCAGAGTGGAGAATGATCCCTTAGGCCTCTTTGCTGAGAACCGGGCTTTAGGCAGCCCTGATGTGTCTGTTGGGTCCTTGCCTTGGAAGTAAATGAGAAATTCAGGGCCTTTCCCCATTTTCTGTTGGTACCAGTAAAGGGCAGTATGGCCAGCAATTGGATCACAACTGAGAGTTACATCCTGTCCCTTCTTTGTGACCCTGTGTCTTGGGGACTGGAACACTCCAGCACCTGTGAGATCTGTGGATACAGAATTAGGAAAGCAGTTGTAGTCATCACACACACACACACACACACGTACATATGCACACACAGGTACACGATGAAACTATTTGATGTTCTCAAGACTCACCTGCCCCCAGGAGACAGAGGGCTACCCAGCAGAGAAGCTTAAAGCCCATAGCTATGGCAGAAAGATGAGAGAGTCATCAGGTAAAGATCACTGTGAGCAGCAGCAGAGAACAGGGGACATCCTTATCCCCACATGGCAGTTTCCACAGTGATGTCACTTCCTCTCTCAATCCTCAGGACCTCAGCAACACAGGATTCATCACAGAACTTACTTGTATAATTGAGGTAAATACATATAATTTCTTATTTAGACAATTCCATGCGTGGGCCCTAGCATCAAATATTTTTTCCTACCATTGACCACCTTAAGACAATTATGGAACCAAAGTACTCAGTTTATTGTGCAGTTCCACATTATTTAAAGTTAAATGAATATCATCTATTTTAAACCCATATGTTCTTCTATGTGTAGATTAAGAAGTCACATTAATAAGAATTAAGCCTTCCTGGCTAAGAATGGCCACGAGAAGACAGAGCCCTTATGAGGCATGATAAATTTGGGAGAAGTTAATGAATGTGGTCCAGGAAGGAGGCTGAGATCTGAATTATTAGCCCTGTTGTTAGAAGATGCTGTGACATGGGACACCCGGAATATCCTCATGGGAGAAGAAGAATGGTCTGATGTGTGTTGCTCGAGAGAAATTCTGGTCACTAACAAAAAAAGACTCCTGGGAAATTGCCTTGACACCATCTCAGACAAGTTTTGGTGTCTTTAGCCCTCTCTGGTCATTCCGTTTGGGGCCTGATCTGCAAATGGGAGAAGCCATGTCTATAGTGCTGCATTCTCACCATCGTCACAGCTGAGGAGAAAGAGGAGGGAACAGCAAAGGAGCCAAGTCTGTGCCTGAGGTCTGGGATCAGTGCAGGCCTGGCAGAGACCCCTGCAGGCGCACCTGACACACACTGAGATCCAGGCTGCACGACCCCTCAGGGCTCTGGGTCTTGGTGCTGAGAGCTCTGCCAAGGGCACCAATGAGCTCTGGGGTGCAGAGCCTGCCCTGCCTTTCTGCGCAGAGAGGAGGCAGCTGTGCAGTGCTGTGGATAACTGCCCGCACAGAAGTACACAGATGTCTGGGAGGGGGTGGCAGAGTCCAGAGTGAGGGAGAAGGACCCTTTACTCAATCTAGACACACTGTAGTCATCAGGGACTTCGCCTTTGTCAGTGGCACCAGCAACAGCAGAGTAATGGATCAGCCTCAGTCCCAGCCCAAGATCCTGTCGATACCAGTACATGGAGTCATAGTTCATATCCTGGGCACATTCCAGTGTCACGTTCTGTCCTGTCACCAGGATCTGGAATTTGGGGATCTGGGTGACACTAGCATTCAAGCCTGCAGAGAAGGAGAACTAACATGAGACTGCAGCCCCTGTGGAAAGGCTTGGGGCTGGGCCTGGAAATCCAGGCAAGTTCCCTGCCCAGGACTCACTCACCTGCCCACAGAAGGCAAAGAGCCACACAGCATAAGAGGTCAATGCTCATGACAGGTGCCGGGCAGGACTGTGGGGACTTCTGGTTCTATTCAGTGAAGAAAGGGGAGCAGGGCTTTCTAGGAAGTCATTCTCAGACTCATCCTCCTTGCCTCAGCCTCAGAGCTTGCCTGTCAGGAGGGCCACACCCCTTTCCCCATAGGGTCAAATTCAAAATCAATGCACAGGTGAACAGCTTAGAATAGGGAGAATGAATTTGTCTTAGTGGACACAAGTCTTATACATTTGTCTTGACTTTTTGTAAACAGTTTTAACTCCATGCATATTTCATTCCCACAATGGTATAATTCCTCATTAATATACTGTTTTAATTACCTAAATCTTTCTGTAGTCTAGAATCTAGGGGAAAATTCTTTTAACTTCTGTGTCCCAAAAGGTTCTTCAGGTATCATTCTCTAATTTTCTTAAATGCTCACAACTGTCTTAATGTCCTCCACCTGCAATAATTCTCTTTGGCACCCAGATTCCAAATCCTAGGAAAAGGCTCACAAAAACGTTATGGGTCATTTTGCTCTGTGTCTTGTCACTTTGCTGATGGGATGCCAGCCCAGCATAGCTAGTCACCTTCAGATCTACCCAGAGCACATGTTTTCTATACTTGCTTCGAGATCACAGTGCATAGAGCCACCTCATGCCTGGATTGTTCACACTTTCTGGAAGGTGGTGGCTGCCCAGGACTGCAGAGCAGCTATCAGCACAAAGGCAACTGATGCGTGACAGACTTGGTCAAGGCGGCAGTCTCCAAGGTAAGGAAGAGTGCTCTGGCTTTATGTGAGACATTATATCTTTTGATGAATATCCCCTCGTGGAGGATGGTGGACATCAATTAATAAATACAAAGCTGCTCAAAAACCGTACCTTATAGCCCAGAGCCCCACATGTGGAAGGACCCCATACTCATTTTAACACATCGCTGTCATGATCTTCAAATTCTTAATGAGGTTTGAACGAAGGACCAGCCAGTCATGGAGCTGGGCCTGAGCACGTGGTTTTGAGGCCCAGGCTCTGCTCCCCTCCCCACTGCTGCTTTCTTTTTAGCACAAGCACGTGACTGGGGGCAGGTCACTTCAGAGAGAAGGACACTGAATTTAAAGGGTCACCTGGTGCTGGAGTCCAGCAATCCCATGGCGGGGAGGGTCTACATCTGTGCCCAGGACTCCTCTTGCCCAGGAGGCAGAGGGATACAGGGCACAGGAGCCTGGTGCCCAGGGCAGGGCTGGAACAGTAGAGGGACTTTCTAGTCGGATGCTCATGTCCTGTGATTTGGTCCCTTGGAATAAAAAGAAGGAGAACCTTCCTCTCCGTTTAGCGTCACCTCCAAGTAAAGCCACCATTGCCTGTGGTTTGCTGGGCTCCAGCACACTCAGTGTGTGTCTGTGAAGCCCAGCCACACGTTGTCATATAGGAACACAGAATCATTTTGTGAAGATAATTAATTTTTGTCAAAATGCCATTTATAAGTGATTTTAACTGATGAGTGAATGAAGGGGAAAATGAATGAAAATGAATAAAGACATTTTGTAGAAACAGCATCAACAAGCTTGGAAGACCTGTGACAGTCATTTATTTCATCACAATGTCTATCGTCAGACCCGGTGCCTCTCAAGTTTTCAAACCCTTCTCACATCATGGAACTCTCCAGAGCTCCTCACGCCTTGACTACTTAGCTAAGTACTGCAAAAGAGCGCTTTCATGGGTAGAAGTTTTAAACTTCCTTTAAAAAGATGCATGGCAAAACCACTCGGTAGTGATCAAAGTCATTCCACTGGTCATCGGGGGTGAGGAGTGGAGGGGGACATTGCAAAGGGGTGGAGGAAACTTTCCAGGTGGTAGGAATATTCTACTCCTTAACAGAGCTGGCAGTTCCATGATATATGCATGCATGTACATATATTGCTCAAAAATCACTGCAATGTTCATTTAAAATATGTAATATTTATTTAACATGATTAATGTATCCATAAAATTTATATTTAAATGCCTGATGACGGATCCATGTTACATTCTCCAGTTTCACCAAATGAATGATGAACATTATATGTTTTAAATCCTGTGGCTTCTGAGTCCCTGGCCTAAGGTTTCTAGGCCAGACGTGTTCACCTCCACCTTTGCACACTGAGCATGTTGGCTGAGGCTGGGATTAGCACAGAGGGAAATCAAAACATCTAGATTCCTATTACATGCTAATATTTTTTACTTAAAAAATTTTGTATACACCCTGTAAGATGAGCAGTTTTAGTTTCGTTTTATAGATAAAAACAACAACCACCCCCAAACTAAGCCTAACCTGTCAAGATCCTGCTGGTCATGATCGGCTGGTGCTAGGATGGGAAGCAGGGCTGAGTGTCCTGGGGCCTATTCCGAGTCTTTGCCACGTCACTGTCTCCAGGGTAAACTGATCTCTGGCCATGTTTTCATCAGAGCTAGCACGTCTGAGAGGGATGCATACCAGCCCCTAGGTCAGGACAGGGGTCTCCTGTGGAAAGCACTCCAAAGTGCTGAGGCGCCCATATCCCTGATGGTGGCACGTGGCTGTGATGTCACTGCTCTGGTGATGTTCTCTCTGCAGGCCATCCCCAGCCCTGATGCACACCTTCTCACCCTCCTGGGGTTCCCTGAAGTATTGTGCGGCCATATAGCACCCCCAAGTGGCCGATAGTCCACAGTCCCATGGATTCACCCATCTGAGCCGAGGAGCTCAAGATTGTCCAGATCCCTAGTCCCCCGGCCTAACCCCATCCTCTCACATTCACCGATTCTACACTTTCCCAGCGTGGCCAATTTACTGTTAGTCTTCAAATCCATCCTTAGCCCATGGAGGCAAAGGACACATGACCCAACATCTAGATTACAAAATGAACAACTGATACTACACCATAATTAGCAGCTAAGATGGAAGAGCCAGAATTACACAGCCATAAAATTAAACAAAGTGTCTACACCACCCAGAGCCAACCTGGAAAGGCTACAACCACAGGTCCTTCTGGAAAATCAGACCCCTATATTTCTGTGTTTTGTACTTAAATTCATTATTGCCAAATTTTAGATACAGGACTTTATAAAATGCATTTTTAGATTTTACAAATTTACTTCTAATTTATAAAAGCTGAAAATAAACAACTTTGTCTGCTGTACTTAAGGCAAATTCAGTGGATCACACATTTGCTACATTACTCAGAATTGCCCATGAGCTCTAACCAATAACTAGTGACTTATAACATTAATCACATTAATAATAGCTGCTGATCAATAATATTCCAGGGCTCTACAAAAGAGAACATTAACTTATTCATTTCAATACATGAAAGAGTAATAGATTATATTCTCAGCTTTTTCTGTGAAAACAAAGGAAAAACAGTGACATAATAGAGCACCAGGGAACTTCAGGGTAAGGGGTTGAGAGGAAAGCAGGAGTGAGCTAGACCTTGACAGATGCCCCTGTCTGGCCCTGTCTGGGGAGGAGAAGGCTCCTTCCAGCCCGTGGGAGACTGAGCATAGATGCAGAGGATGTAAAAGGATGCTAAGTTTTGGGAAATGTTCAAGAGCTGTTTCTTCTCAGAGATAATTGTATGAGGTAGGGAAGCATAAGTGTTTCACAGTGATCCCAGGGAAGCAGAATTTATCTTGGGGGAAAGTGGGAATATTTTGCCTATTTCCATCAGGGATAAAATGACCTACTCTGTTTGGGGAATTACCCAACTGTGCCCTAAGGAGACAAGTTTGGGACCAGGTAGAAGATGCCATAGCAGGCCCCTGATCGCTTGTCATGTCCCCATCTTGGACCAGCCCTAGGGTGTGGCCAGCCGCTCTAAGTATTATGAGTATTAAAGACTTTGAGAGATTGTGTTGCACAGAACACAATATTTTGTCATCTCATAGTTCTATCGAACTATGTTCATCTCACGTTCAACAACATGTTCTTGCTTCTCCAATTTCCCCAAATGTCAATTATATCTCCCTCAATCATATAGAGTAAACTCCTCAGACTCGCCCTGCTACAGTACACTATTATCAACAATCTTTATTCCAGAATAAAATCCTTTGCCTGAAATAAGAGGGTACCAGCTATTAAATTTCAAATTCTCCCTCTACCCTTGCACTACACAATGTCAGACAAAGATGACAGCTTCAGAGTGAAACTACTGACGTAATAATGACCTCTGACCAGGTCCTCTCAGTGCCACCCTCCCCAGTGAGAATGGCAGAAAAACCCCAGGCTGCATGTTCTGAGTCCTGAAATTGTATTTTTTTTCCTTCCTTGTGGGCCCCAGGTTGTCACAGATATGTCAGAGTTGAGGTTGCCTCATGCTGGGGCAGGGAGGTTTGTGCACAGAACATTGGTGGCTCTGCAGGGCTGTGCCACGCTGCTGGCACAGAGATACAGAGCTGAGTCTTCCTGTTCTAAGGCGCTTACGTTCATCTCAGAGCGATAGTCATGGAACTGGTGACCTGAGAATCGATCAGGGAAGTCTCCTTTCTCTCACTCTTCTCTCTCATAATACTGAATGAGGAACGAGGGGCCCTGACCCAGGGCCTGTTGGTACCAGGATACACTGGCATGCCCAGAGACAGGGGAACACCTCAATGTCACTTGCTGTCCTCTTGCTTTGATCAGGTGCCTTGGAGTTTGGGTGACTCCGGCCTCTGCTGGGCCTGTGGAGAAAGCAGATGGAGAATGAGCACAGGAGGCAACCTGGTGAGGCCTCCCAAGGTTAGGTGGGGGATTCAGGGGTGAACAAGCTCAGAACGGGATGCTGTCCTGTCTTCAGGGCTCACCTGTTCCCAGGAGGCAGAGCAGCACCAAGGGCAGGAGCCTGGCGCCCATGACACAGGGGGCAGGTGGCACTGGGCCTCTGTGCTCAGGGCTTGGTCCTCTTGGGGAAGAGCTGAGTTCTGGGCCTTGCTTTTCCTGACTGGGGGAGTGTCCTGTGATGTCACAGCCCAGGTCACCCCCGGCAGGCTTGCTGATCTGCAGGGCAGGTTGCGAGCAAACACTTC